ACGGGTGCGCGGTATACGCCGAATATAAAAAATTATAGATTAAAAAAATTTAAATATAGAAAAATACTTTTCTTTTAAAGAAATAACATTCCTTTACCAATGTACTTTATTGATTTTCGCTATTACATAAATAGTTCATTATCTCAGAATCACATTATTACTCTTTCAACTGTACCCTCACGTACATGTCAAATTCAATTCTTTTATTTTTGCAAAAGATAGGGAAAGAAACTTTTTATTTACGATCTTGAAAGACGAGATATTGCAAATGTACAATCCAAATTTCCTTTTTCGTTATACGAAGAGTATATCTTAAAATTTAAAAAAAAGTATTAGAAATTACGGGTGCGCGTTATACGCCGGGGCGCGTTATGCGGCGGAATATACGGTATACCAATTTTTAAAACCATCTACAGAGGGGAATGTAGCAACCAAAAAGGTCAGGAAGTTGGATATAATGAACTTTTTTCTGTCTTCGACTGATTTTTTTCTTCATTTTTTTTGTAATAATTTTGAAATTTCTACTACAAAATAAATAAAATACATATACCAATTTTTAAAACCATCTATAGAGGGGAATGTAGCAATAAGCATTTTTTCTTATTTGCTTCTTTTATCTCACTTTCCAATCCCTAAACAAACCAAGCAGATGTTTCCAACTCAGGCAGATGATACACCTGTAAGGTGTCAGTAGGATCAATATGCCTTTTCTGTCAGAGGGAATGAGTAATTATTCGTTATTGGTCAAAGGGTTGGACACTAATATGTGTCGATAAGGCCCTCATTTCAACTCCTTTTTGCTCTCAGTTCAGTGAAAAAAATGTCTGCAAAAAAGTGTCTCAAATTTAACTATGGAGACCAGTAAACATAAAACGTTCTCCATTGATGATAAAATGGGCATAGTCAGAAAAATTGAAAATGGACGCAATCAAGTTGATATTTAAAGGGAATATAAACTATTCAAATTTGCAGTTTGTAACATATGGAAAGAAAGACAATAATTTCCGGTGAAGAAAAAAATTTAGAAGGCAGAAAAAAGTTAAGAAAAGCAGATCACAAGGATATTGAAGAAGCATTGCTAAAGTGGTTCACCATTCGAAGAAGCCGCAATCTTCCAGTATCTGGACAAATGTCGATGAGTTTGCTAAGCGATTTTATAAGACTAATTTTATGTTCTCGAATGGCAGGTTAGACAGGTTCAAAAAGCGGGATAACAGAAATTCAGGAAAAATTATCTGAGAGTCAGGAAGTATTCCCATACCTGATGTTGAGGATTGCTCATCAGCTAAAAATTACAAATTTTTTTTGCACGCAAGACGAAGAATAATGAAAAATAAAAAATTTTTTGCTACTACATAATATTTTTCAGTCATTTTTTTCTATAATTTAAACAGAAAATTGTGCGAAAACAAACATTTGAAGGTACATATTTTCTTTTTAATATAAAATTCTTAAAATTTAAAGTCACTTAAAAAATTTATTAATATCCCCCCCCCTGCCCGAAAAAGATACATATGAAATTTTAACCTGTTAAGTACAATCCTAACAAAGTAAACATTTGTAACAGTAATAGAAATTACACCCCCAGAAGCAGAATATTTTCAAATGTTCTGCAACAGGACTTATTAATATATACAAATGTTCTGCAAGGATTTCACAGCGAAAAAAAGTTAGCTTTACATTAAAATACTATATTTTCATTTATTAAAATACAGGATCATACACAGATACTGTACATTATTTTTAAACCAAGGCAAACATTCTTGATTTGTTACTTTTTCAATCACTTTTGAGGTGAAAAATTTTGTTAATGACGATGAATTATTAATAAATTATTATCGCAGGAATACGCTGTCACTTATTCAAGATTTCAAGATACAAATTGTTCTGCAGGACTTCGTTTGTTCTGCGACGTACGTCGCAGTTTTAGGCACTTTCTGCTTCTAGGATTACACCTATAAAAACAGATAACTTCACCAATGTGTAATTCTTATTTAAACAGTGATTATTATTTTTTCAAAACAGAATCTGAATAAAAAAAAGCAGTGTTATTTAAAGATGGCGACTTATTTTTACAAAAGGGCAAAGAGGGTGCATTTATTGGGTTCAAAGCAAGGTGAGTTGCCCTTCAGAAAATGCTTAGGGAGAACACACTGCGTATTTGACAAATTGGGGTGACTTCGTACAGAAAAAAATTCTTGAATCTGACATGACATAGATGATAAAGAAATTTCTGAAAATAAGTCCAAACTTGTTAATGAACAAGTGGATGTTGTGTTATCAAAGAGGGCAGAGTTCAAGTTTAGGTTTGCTTCACTAACAGTGACTCACAGAAGTTAGATAGTGATTAAACAAATCTCTCAATTATGCACCAGATAATAACATATTGTGGCATTCTACATTTTTCAACTTTTACAATATTTTATGGTTTCGCTACCAGAAAGTTATTTTTAACTACGTCAGTAAAAATTGTTCTTATTTTCTGTAAATAACAGGGACAAGTATACAATTTAGACTGGGTAGTACCTTTAGAGTTGAAATTTCTTGCCCTGGCTACAATAAATCATTACAATACATTTTGCACTTTTAACCATAAGAATAAATATTAGAAGGGGTGTGGTGGTTCTAATAAAGAAAATGATAAAGAGAATGATGCACTCAATATTCCTAATTCTTTGATGTGGAAAAAAATATTTTTTTTTAACTATTACAACACTCAGTAAAGAAAATATAAGAATATTAAAAAGGAGGCAGAGATTACATAGATATTAATTGTATTTAAAATTTCAACTATATGAGCGTGAAGAACAATCCTTAAGAAATGCTGCAAAAAATTTCAAGAAAAATAAAGAGCAGAGTTGGTATGATTTGAAAGTATTTAATTAAAAAAATTGTTGATTTAAATCACATGATTTTTTTTTAAATTATATATATTTATGTAGAAATTGTTGTTATTACAGTATTGCACTACCTAAAAACTGTGATAATAAACCATTGTTAACTAATTTCATTGATAATAAATGCTTTATTCATAGAATTGAGGAATAAATTAATAAAGAAGTAAACAAATTATTCTTTTTTTTTTCTTCCTACCAGAGCTTTAAGAAGAGTTCAAGAGTTTTTTGTAGCACTGTTGCCAAGGAAATTAAAAAGCCATAGTTTAAGTGCTTTACACTTAAAGCAATGAGCTGATTTTTAACTACACATATAATCTTAATGCGAAGAAATATCCAGACTTAAAACAGACAAATAACTTAAATATTTTAAAGTTATTAAACATTTTTAAAAATCGCCAAATTGGCAACATTTTTCCACCTAGATGAAAATTATTAAAATCACTGCCTTATTCTCAGTTTTTATAAATTTTTATGAGCACAGGTAATACAGCATTGGAGTAAGTTTTTAAACATTAAAAAAAAATTAAACTACAAATGCTTTTTGTTTTTACAAAACTGTGGCTTTTCTCCAAATTGACGTTTTTTGCTATTTTCATAATAACTTGACCTCACAGGCTAAATTTGGCCTCACAGTTATGAGTAACAGTTGCAAAAAAAAGCAGTTATAAAAATAGTATTTAATTTGGAAAAAAAGCATTTCATATAATGATGAAACCTATGAAAAACAACCTTAATGTAAATAAGAATGAAACTTTTAAATTTTAATTTTTCATGATTCATTTCACATCATTTTCATAAATTTAATGTGCTCATTGTAGTATAGAAAAATAATTTGCTCATTTATTATCAATAAATATAAATTTTAATTATATCCATTAAATTTTTTACACATTTATTTCAATGCAAATAATTTCAAAACTTATTAAAGATGTAGTAAGGAAATCTACTTGAAAACAAAAATTAAATTAGTATTAATTGTTATTTTGATTTATTAATTAGTTTGAAATACTTAAACCATAATATTAACCTTATTATTACTAAGTTATTAGGAATTATATCTGTAGTATTATTGTTGAACAATATTTAGAATTTTTCAAATATTCTGTCAGAACTTTAATTGTTAAAATGCAAAAAAAAATTAATTGAAACGAAGATAAAATTTAAATGTCCAATATTTTATTTTATAACCCGTGTTGAACTGCTGATCCAATTCTGAACTTATGACTGTCTAAGTTCAACTCCATAGCATTATAACTTTGAACCTAACCCAGAAGTCAAAGGAACTCCTGATCAAGAATAAGGAAAAACTAGCCTTCATAAAGGTCATTTGATGCAACTAACCTTCATTTGTGATGCATGAAGGAGAAAGCCATGAAAGCTTAGACGACGGCAAAGGGATCTTTACCTATAGTCAGTCTACCACTGAGGATATTTAACATCAGCACATAGGCCGTTGAAAGATGGGGGCAGAAATCATATCAACAAGTTACAGTAAAAATAAGAACTTGGTTAACCTCATTGGGAGGCGAATGCTCTATCCCCTGAGCCACCGTGGTTGAATACTTAATATATACTTTGCTTAAGAAATATAAATTAATTAAAATAACGATTATTTTTATTAACCACGATAAAATACCTCAATGTTTCATAGTGGGCCTCTAGAATACTAAACACACCCCTGGTCAATTTGACAACTCATGACAGGTCAAATCTCTTTTATGAATAAATTAGTTTCTCTCAATCATTCATAAAAAAAAATATCCTGGGAAAAAACCAACAATTCACAGGAAATAGATAAAATAAGCTACACTGATAAATAGCTGATGAAAAAAGAAAAATTAAGCTATTTTTTTAAAGTAGTCAAAAATAGTGAATTAATTGTCTGAAAATGCTAAGAAAAGCAAATAAAAACAAATTGTTTTCTTAGAAAAATTTAAATTAATTGTTTTTATTACAATAAAGCTGTTAAAATTACAACAGAACAAACAATAATAAAAAATGTCACTTACAGCATTACTATTTCCTCCAACTTGCATAGCACGTAGCTGTAACCAAGTCCAATTGGTGTCCAGTTGTGTAGATCTTACAAACGATAAGTGAACTCCGAGAGAACGATGGACGGCAGAGCAGTCCATACAAATGAAGACGCCATAAGTTACACTGGCCCATGTTGGATTCTTTGCTCCACAATCAAAACAAACCTAACGTCAAAATAAAAGTTTTATAATCAATGTTATAATTTCATAGAAAATGAAAACAAATTCAAAAAGTTGTTAATAAATAACGAATGAGGAAACACTTAATTGCAACTACACTAAATTATGACATATTAAGCAATAAATAATAAAATCATATATCAAACAAATGTAAACAAAACATTGACAAAAACAGATGACGAAAAAGAGTTTACTGAATAAATAATGAGGAAATAAAGTATATAGTATTTAAAATATCTATTAAAGGAATAATATTTAACACTTTTTAAAATACCTTATTGGAAGTTATGTTGCGTAAACGTTTAAAAACTGCAGCGATATCCGTCTTGCAAGGTTTCTCTTCCGCCATGATGCCTCGTTGTACTGCAACTTCGCTTTGTGCTGACGTAAATTTTCTTTGAATTAAGCAACAGCTGCTTACTTTTACAAACTGAATTAAAACACAGCTCAAAATCAAATTGACTACTTCGTTTGATTAGCTGGCTAATTCATTTGAATAAAAAATAAATAAAAGGACAGACGACAGAAAAATGAAACAAAAACGTGTAATAAGTTGTTGTTATGCTGCTTAATATTTTTATATTTTTTTTAATTTAAATTTTTGGAAAAAAATAAGTTTTATTCAATAACTTACGTTTTTTAAGATTCATAATCCATTGAAATTTTATTAATAAAAGGTTTCTCATTTCATATATTAAATTAACTACCGGTACTACAACTCAACTTATTATTATTTACGGAATATGAGGGAGAAGATTTGTTTATTATAAAATTGCATAGACTCGTTTTGCATAGTATTTCGGGAGTCCCGTTATGTTTATTCGTTTCATTTGCAAAATATGTGATACTTCTTCAATTAGACCAAGTTTTTTCTGTAGAAAGTATTCGCCCTTTGTATCAAATACTCGATACGCAACCTTCGTCACTGATTCTCAAAGAGCCGCTTTGAACATTTCTCAATCATGTGTTGACAGACTGAAGAAAATAGCCCCAAAAGATGCATTTCTGCGGATTATTATAGATGGTGGTGGGTGTTCTGGGTTCCAGTATCGTTTTGATCTAGATACAAAAACAAATGACGATGACATTTGCATCGAAAAAAACGGAGCTAAAGTTGTAGTTGATAACATCTCATTAGACTTCATCAAAGGTGCAACTATTGAATATCACGAGGAACTCATCAGATCAGCTTTTAGAATCGTAGACAATCCGAAGGCTGATATAAATTGTTCGTGTGGTACATCATTTTCTATTAAAAATACATAGATTTATTGCTTGTACTTAGTCAAGTAGCAAAGCCTCACAATTTTAGAAAAATTTTCTGTATTGTTTTAGTTGTTTTATTTTTTTATGCCGGGATTCTAGCAGTGTTAATCAGTTTAATAGCACATATCAAGAAATATTCTACTAATAGTTGCTTGTTTTTTTCTGTTATCAAACTTTAGTGTTTAAATGTGTCTCTGTTGCAAGCTGTTAATAAGTGAATTTATCACACTTGTACTTATTTTTTTTGTATGCCCTGTGCTAAAGCATGTTTACTTTTTTATATCTCAAGTGTTTTTCTCCTCTAGAGTTGATGATTTTTGGTTTGACTTGTATAAAGTATCCTAGTTGATTATCATTTTGTAATATCATAGTACATATTTTGATTTTGCCAATGTCATTGTCTTTCTGCTGCTTTAAAAGTATTAATATCTTCTAAACACTTATGTATGTGAAACTGTACTCATTTCTTGTGTTCATCTTTTGGAGATGTGTCAGTGTAAATGCATTTTAATTGCTGATTTGTTGACATATTTGTTTGCTGACATTTGTTTACCTTAAATAAAGAAGAATTATCTTTAAATTAAGTTCTTAAAATTCTTTCCTGTGAAATAGAGTATTAAATAAATTGGTACTTTTTGGTTTTCCCGATAACAGGAAATTCAACTATTTTTTTCTTTGTGAACGACCAGTTTGTTCTTTGTTTAAGAAAAATAGAAAGAAAGTTGGCGGAGGTCTACATTTTTCGACGACTTTTCACTTGTGCCTGACTAACCGAAAAATAGCAATAAATCATTTTAATCTATTTTCAGACCTTTCTCAATNATTTGTTTGCTGACATTTGTTTACCTTAAATAAATAAGAATTATCTTTAAATTAAGTTCATAAAATTCTTTCCTGTGAAATAGAGTATTAAATAAATTGGTACTTTTTGGTTTTCCCGGTAACAGGAAATTCAACTTTTATTTCTTTGTGAACTGAACGACCACTTTGTTCTTTGTTTAAAAAAAAATAGAAAGAAAGTTGGCGGAGGTCTACATTTTTCGACGACTTTTCACCTGTGCCTGACTAACCGAAAAATAGCAATAAATCATTTCAGACCTTTCTCAATATTCTAACAGGTTTTTATCTACAGATATAATTTAAAATAGATTTATAAAATGTCTATAATTTACTTATCACTTAATATTGAAAAAGTTGTTCCTAACTTGACCTAGGGGAAAGGAAAACAGTATTCTATCTGCTTAAAAAATGAAACAGTGTCTGATCAACTAAAAAAAATACTCTTGAAATACATCATGCATGTATAAAAATGCCAGAAAAACAAGTGAAGATTTAATAATACTTTATCTGCAGTATACTGATCATGTTTAATTGAAATAACACAAGAGAGACAGACGACCTTAGACTTTAAGGCAAAGGGAGTTATTTCTATATACTATCTTTCTATAAACTTTCTATCCTTAAAAAAATACTTATTTCTGTTTTATATCCTGTTAAATACTTATATCTGGGTAACATTTGAGCAGGCTATTGCATGAAACTAATATAATTCAGGGAATTATTTGCAAAAATGAAAGAAAAGGACTTAATCTAAGGTTTAAGATACTTAAAAGACTAATATTTCCTCTAAAGAAATTACTAAACATTCTGTAAAAATAAATAAATTCAACAAATATATGAGTACCTATTGAACTTATTGTTGTCTCATTAATTTATTTACTGAATTATTTTAAAATAATATCAGTATTCAAAATTGTTTTTAAGACAAAAATCATTATAATTTTGTTTTAATATTTATTTGAAAAATACTGCTGTCAAAAATATTTATCTCAAAATGTAAGATAACTGTATTTCTGTTATTGTTAGAATTACATTTGACGCAGCATAATAAATAACAGCAGCCGCCTATTATAATGATTTGTAAAAGAAGTTGTGGAAGATTTTTAAAAAATCATAAATTTTTTTTTTTTTTTTGTTAAAAAATAAATATTACTTTTTCAGACATCTTTAAGTATGATATTCAAAAGTTGTAATTGTTTAAATAGTGATATATCTTTTATTTTTTTTAATTCTTTTTGTTTTGACATTGGACGTTATTTATGAAACTGATTAATTTTGTTTACTTGAACATGTTAGATTGTATGTTGTTTTTTTTTTTTTAAATTTAAGTTTGGTTTAGTATTTAATTTTTGTGTCTGAAAATAAATATAAATCTAAATAATAATAAATTAATCTAAATCTAAATAATAAAAATAAATCTAATACCCCAATTGCAAAAATATTTCAGTTGCTTCGTTAGAAATGAATCACTTGTCTAAATGTATCCCACAAGTAGTCAACTTAGTTTTTTTTTGTATAACTATGTATTGACTTTTAAGTTTCATGTGTCAATCTTTTATGAATGCATGAATATTAAACATATACCTTGTCATTTATATGTATGTATTACTACATGTATACCTTGTCATTTATGATGTTAACAATTTGCACATCATGAAAGGTGATTCTTAGTCACCATTGCAACAAGATATTGAATTTTAAAATATTTATGGTTAAAGTAATCTATTTATTTTATGATTGTTAGCCATTATGTGGAAAGAGTCAAATAAGGTTGTTTTGTCTTTTAAATTTTTTAGAGCTTTTGCTTGTTTATCATTGTTAAAAGTGTGATTGCTATAGGTTAACTTATTTAATAGCTAATTTTTTCCCCTTCTCTTTTTCATATTTATGTAGTCAAGTGATTTTTTAATAAATGTGTGAAATGAATGTTTTATTTTCTGTGACTTTAATTATTATAATTTTAACTACTCACTTTCAAATTTAAATTATTTTTTTTTATTACTCTGTCATACAGATCATGTTACATTAACTATTATACAGCTTTCTTCATTTTAGTTTTACTCTATAAAAACTTTTTTATGCTTTTAAATCAGCTAACTTTAGACTATAACATAATTCAGACTAGCATTGTTCATAGAACTTGAAGAGGTTGAGTTGCTAAGGAACAAAGAATATTAAATATTTGTTAATTCAGTTACCAATTACAACATAATTAGCCGATTGACCCAGCCAAGACTGAAATTGTTTTGTTACGCAACTTGTCGATGGATGGTTTACTGAATGTAAACAATAAGAAGCTTCTTAAAACCGGAAATTTTTTTAAAAACTTCCAGTGTATTCCTTCACTAATATTATGCTTATGAGATGATCTGCATGATTAATATTCTAAGTTTTATTATTGTGATTTGCGTTTAAATGTATGCATAATTTTGCCATTCATAAGAGTTTTCTGTAATTTGTATATTCTAACTAGTTGTGAGCCTAAAATAATATTAAGAAAATTAATATTACAACATAAATAAAATGTAAGGTTTGTCACGTTTTGAGTTTTATTTCTTATTTGGCTATATTTGCGTAAAATATCACCGTTTGATATTTTTTGGGTTGCATCATAGGATGCTTGCGAAGTCTTCGGAATTCATTTGTTGTCTGTTTCGTTAAAATTTAAAAAATGCGCTATATTGTAAACACTACAAGTATAATATTTGATGGTGCCCATTTTCAAGTATAGGCATAAAAATCAATCAGGCAAGTAATAGCCCAGAAGTTTTACAACGAATTTTAACCATCTGTACTTAGCTTTGCAATTCAACCATCCTTAAAAGCAGGCCAGGTGTATCCTGTAATGGAAAGCTGTTTTTCATCCATAAACTGTAGCAATGATGTTATTCCATGGATAGTTGACCATGTAAAGCTAAGCCCAGGTGGCTTTAGGGGTTGAAATGCATCGTAAGACTTCCGGGTCACTACTTCCGATTGGTTTTTATGCCTAAACTTGAAAAAAAGGTGCCATCAAATATTATTATACTTGTAGTGTTGGCAATATACCGCGTTTTTTAAACTTCAACGAAACAAACAACAAGAATTTGTAAGACTCCGCAGACATGCTTTTTCCTGTAAGATGCAACCCGAAAAATAACTGATATTTTACACAAATATAGCGAAATAAGAAAAAAAACTCAAAACATGACAAACCTTACCTTTATTTATGTTGTAATATTAATTTTCTTAATATCATTTTTGACTCACAACCTGTTAAAATTTATAAATTACAGGAAACTCTTATGAATGGTAAAATTACACGCAAATTTAAACATAAGTCACATTTATAAAAGCTCCTAGAATATTAAGCCCGTTCACACATCACCTCATAAGCATGACAGAAGCAGAGGAATACATCAGAAGTTTTATTAATTTATTCCGGTTTTAGAAAGCTTGTTATTGTTAACATTCAGTCAACGATTCAT